CTAAACTCTAAACCCTAAACCCTTGTCCCAGCTTCGCTGGCCCAGGCCTGGGGCCGCCACCTGGCCGTGGCCTTCACCCGGGCCCCCCGTCTCACTGCTTGGGCGAAGAGTTCGGGTTTAGGGTTTCGGGAGGGTTTAGGGTTTAGGGGGCCTTGTTCAGGGTGGTTGTCAAGATGGCTTTGTTCAGGGTTAGGGTCTAGGGGTTTAGGGGTTTAGGGGTTTAGGGGTTTAGGGGTTTAGGGTTCAGGGTTTAGGGTCGAGGGTTCGGGGTTGAGGGTTGTCAGTTCAAGCTGCCAACGAGAAGGCCCGTGGTTTCGGGATGTGGGAGTGGGGTCTGGGAGGATAAAGATCTCGCGTTGTAGGAAACAAAGGAACTTGGGAGATTCGGCTTCTGCGACATGAACTTTGAGATCGGTGGGTAACTCGGAGTTCACGATTCAGCGTTGATTTCCCTGCTTATGGGTGGTTAAGACCATGGCCGAGACATGTGAGTGAGTGAGTGTGAGAGAGAGAGAGAGAGAGAACGTCGAGGAAGTGCGGGTGTCAGGCTTCATTTCGGGATGAAGGCAGGGCTGAGGTCAGGGGGGTCGTAGAGTGAGGCAGTGAGTGGGAGCACCAAACCTGGCCTTGCCTACTCTAATTCACATGTTTCGGCACTGTTTTGTGAGTACACCAGGAGCACTGACAAGGGAACATGGACACCAGCCTGAAAGGAGGTGATCCTGCCCCCACGGTCGGCCGAACGGCCAGTCTGCTGCACAGTCGAGCCCATCCGGACAATATATTGGATGCGGTAGCGCGACCGCACGGGCTGCAGGGACTGCCTGCCGCTCTAACCACGAGCCAAGCAGAGCAAAGAGAGTGAACGAACCGCAGGTGCGCGTTCGCACGCAAAGGGGGGTAGCCTGCTACCCTCCTTTTGCCCCCGTAGAGAGAGAGAGAGAGAGAGAGCGCGAGAGAGAGAGAGAGAGAGAGAGAGAGGGAGAGGGACAGACAGAGAGAGAGAGAGAGAGGGGCAGAGAGAGAGAGAGGGGCAGAGAGAGAGAGAGTAAGTGAGGGAGGGAGGGAGGGAGGGAGGGAGGGAGGGATCGCAGTCGTCTGTATGAAGAACTGTATCAGACAGTAAACAGACATCTTTTTGCGCGTGTGCATACCTATGTGCATGTACATATGCATGTTTGTTCTGTGTGGGTGTATCTACATATTCGAGGTATTGACTGTGCACATGTCATGTATTCGTATACGAGGTAATGGGTTGAATGGATGGTGCCTTTGGACTTGAGGACAGGAGAGGAGTCAAATGCAAGATCTAGCTCTGCGCCACTATTTGACTAAACTTGGTCCCGGCGGCTCGAAATAGTCATCAGCAAGACTTCCCAGGCATCACACCTACTCCCTACTTGGCAAGCCGTCCTGCACTCGGAAAAAGCTGTGAGAAAAAAGCACCGAGCCAAGGCTTTGGAAAACGGGGACGACGACTATCGTGACTACCTGGGTGGCCTGCAACCACCGCCTTTCGCACCCTCGGTGGTGATCCAGAGGCCTAGACACTTCGAAGTACTCGTCGTTCTGATATCGTCCGAAGCTCCGGCGTGGATCCGACCGCAAGAACATGAATCACAGTGGTTTGCGGGGTGTATGGGCTAGGGTCCAAGATGTTGAGCTTGACTAATTGGCCTCTACCCCTCGAAGCAGGCCCGTGCAGTCGACTTTGGGACAGCCGAAGTCCACCGTGGAGGATGCCGAAAAGCGGGCTCGGCTCTCAGCCAGCCATGCTGATGCTCAGAGTACCCCTTTGAATGCCAACTTGAGAGCAATCGCGTCGGCTTGCAGTTCGTATGTCACCGATATTTTTTGCACAGCTGCTGCCCGGATTGTCAATCCCAAATACGGTTAGGGCTAGGTCTGTCAGGCTGAACCAGATCATACCGGATCGATGCCCAGGTACAAGCCAAGCTGGAAAGCAAGGGCGCGGATGCATCTTGCCTCCAATCGGAAGGTATTCTATTGTCCTATTGTATAGGGGCATATGAACGGGCATCATGGGTTAAACAGATGCGTTGGTTGGGGCTATGTGTACCATGTTGGCGTCTTCCGGAAGCACCGTGCCCGGGTAGGAGGCTTCGATGCGGGCTGTAGTAAGAATTCTCAAATTTCTGCAGAATTTCTGAACCCTCATCATAATCCTCTACACCTTCAAAAACCCGAAAAGTACACCCGAAATCCTAAACCTCTCGAAATCCCCCTGGAATCCATCAAAATTGCCTCCAGGCCCGCGCGCCTCCCAAACCCAAGGGCGCCTGGGAACGGCCGGAGGTGGGAGAGATGGAGGAGTTCCGGGAGGTTTATCCTACTATAGTATAGTTTTTGTAGGGTTTAGGGTTTAGGGTTAGGGTTCAGGGTTTAGGGTTTAGGGTTTAGGGTAAGGTATAGTGAATGCATACTGTAAACTATATCATAGTCTTTTTTGATAACACATCACATTATCCGAAAGACTTATGCAGGTGGGCCTGCGCTTGCTGCATCCATCTACCCTCCACCCAAAAAACCCTGGCGCCCTAAACCCTAAACCCTAAACCCTAAACCCTAAACCCTAAACCGTAGCCCAAATCCTTTTCGTTCATGTTGAGCCGCTCGGAGGGGCTCTGGCTGCAGGTGCGACAGGGTCATACCATGTCATGCCCAATACAGGAGCCTTTTCAATTACCTATATGATTCTGGGGTTCCTTCTAAAATTTCTCGTATACCAAAACCCTATTCTAATCATTGAGGCCCCTCGTTAACCCTAACCCTTAACCTTAGCCCTAAACTCTTCGAGACCCGCAAGCCGATAATTATGAGAACACGGAAACCCCAAGTGACCAAGTGTAATGTAGGGGCCTTAGTAATTAGAATAGGGTTTTGGGGGTTCCTTATTATATATAGCAGAATATACCCCGAAACCGTATCGTAATTATTAAGGCCCCTGTATTACGGCCAAATCCCTCGGTGCTGACCCTCCTCTCGTTCCAACGCGTTCGGTCTTGCCCTTGGAACAGAGATTGGGGGCTGCACACGCGGGCGAAGAAACTCTGGTCACCTTGAGACCACCAAGAATTATGAGAAAGGTTGTAGCAGCAGCCGCAGCCGGTGTAGCATTATTTGCCTTGTTTTTCGTAAGAATGCGGTGTAAGGAAGTTCGATGGTCTTCGCGCCACGGCTCGGGGAAGCAACTTTCGAGCCCCTACGGCTAGTCCAAGATCCCTGTAGGAGTTCGTCCCGGCCTACCTTCTGCGCGGTCTGATCCCGGCCAGCCTCCTTCAGTCCCACGACTTCTGGCAAAATACCGGGCCCAGCTGCAGGTTCGCATGGTTCTTGCTACAAATGTACTACTAATTATGATAATAAGAAAAATAAGAACAATAATAATAATACGAATAAGAATAATAATAATAATACTAATAATAATAATAATAACAATAATAATAATAACCATAATCATCATCATAATCATAATAACAGTTAAACATCAACTGTACTTCCATTACTACCGGTCATATTCATCCATTCAGTACTGTTACCATTCCTATGATTACCATCGTTGTGGCGGGGTGAGTGCTATTGTTGCTGCTCTGCTAGTGCCGTCAGCATATAGTGTGTGTGTGTGTGTGTATATGTAGACCTCAATATAACTCTCAATCGTGCTGGTGCCGCTGCTGCAGTGCCTACTACTTCGTGTTGTAGATAAGATGCTTCGTCGGCATTGTTATCGTCAGCCGCATGGGTATTCGTGCCGGCTTCGTACCAGGATCAGTAAGCGTAAGACTGAATTAGTAAGTAGACAACTGCGCACAGAAAAGTACATAGAACAGTCTTACATTTTAAGCATACACATTTGCCATGATTAACACACACATAAAGAAGTACATGCCTGAACGAAGAAATAAGCAAGCAAACACATATCGATATGTGTGTATCTTATTGATATCCAAGCTCTTTTCATTCATACACTGTGGGTGAGTGCCGTTCATGCTGTTGCAACTCGGTGGGAAGGATGGCTGGCGAGGCTGATGACGATTGCGTTGAGAAAGGGTGGGTAGGATATTCCAGCCCGCACAAACCTAAAATCCTCAGGTTTACATACCTGGTACATCTAAACCTCCAAGCTTGCCTGCACGGCACCAGTCATACACAGCGTATCCTCCCTGCGAGGCTGGTCGGGTATGGGAAGGAGGAGATTGTGGTGGAGCTCCTTCCTCGTGCCACCATCCAGGGTGTGGGCATGGAAGGCTGGATAGGGAAGACCTTCTCACAGCTACCTGTAGGGGCATGTATCGGGGATGCAGCAGTTAAACACGAGGACCCTGCTATTTGGGATCGGAGGGTAATCGTTGAGCAAATAGAGAATCACGCAAGATGTTGCTAGGTACGTCAATGAATCAGTGGGTCCGTTAGTCTGTCAGTCAGTCAGCCAATCATGCAGCCGATCAAGAAATTACTTAGGTAAACGAGCATTTACGTATTCTCTTGTTCTCTCTCTCTCTCTCTATGCATACATAAGTACATACGTGCATATGTACATGCACAGAATTGCAGAGACATGTATTCAACCAGTACCACCTGTCATTCTGTAGTGAGAATGCATCCAGTCCGAAGGAAACCTCCTTGTTTTCCTTCAGCACGCGAAGAACGATGTGAACTCTGAATTTGGATTATGAGCGAATTGCTTTCGGCTTCAGCAGCGTTCGCGCATTTTTCTCCGTTTGCAAAGGCGCGCGAGTATGTCCTCACGAAACTGGTGGCGTGAGTATGTCTGCACGAAACTGGTGTGTTCTGGATCTTGCAGCGCTGCGGCGTTCTCGCACCGTGCTCAAAGAAACGTGCTAGTGCGAAAAGTCTGTTGCGTTCTCAACTTGGAGCTGCAAGCACACTTGGCTTTCTCTCCGTGCGCAGGAGACAGTCCAGTAGCTCAGCCCGCTTTTCGAGCGACTTGCCCTGGTTCTCACGTCCCCACGTCCCGTTCGAGCGGTTTGCTCTTGTCAATCACCCTTGTTTTTTTTCGAGAGGCTTGCTTTTGTCTCGGATAAACCGTGAAATACCTTAGTTCCTTTCGAGCGTTGCGCCCCCTGTTTTTTACATCCTCTAACCTGGCTTCGAACGGTTTGCTGCTGTCTCTCAAATTCTCTAGTCTTTGTTGTGCGGGTTTGCTCCTGTTTCTCACGCAGTTTTTTTCTTCGAGTGGTTTGCTTTTTTCTCAAACGCTCTAGCGCCTTTCGAGCGGTTTGCTTCTTTTTTCTCACATACTCTAGCTCCTTTCGAGCAGTTTGTTCCGTTCCTCAAATATTCTATCTAGGCCCTTCGAACGGTTTGCTGCTGCTCCTCAGACTCTCCAGTTCTTTCGAGTGGTTTTCTGTTCCTCAAATACTCCAGTCCATTTGGACTAGCTTGGTCTTGTTTTCTTGAACACTCCAGGTTCTTTCGAGCCGTGTACTCTTGTTTCTCTGCGGGGTTTGCGCTTGTTTCTCAAACGCCCCAGTCCGTTTTGAGCGCTTTGCTCCCTTTGCCTGAAATACAGCTCTTTTCGAGTATTCTGCTCCTCTTTCTCAAATACTTTAGTTTCTTTCGAGCCGGTTGCCCCTGTTTCTCAAATACTCTTAATCACTTTCGAGCGGTTTGCATCATCTTTTCTCGACTATTTTAGTTCCTTTCGCGCGGTTTGTTCCTGTTTTCTCAAATACTCCAGTCCTTTTCGAGCAGTTTGCTGCGGTTTCTCAAATACTCTCCATCCCAGCGCAACTTAAAACCCACCCCAAACCACCTGAAACCTTGCATAACACGGCAACAGGGCAGGGCCTTATGACATGGCATAAACACATAAGACAATACCAGCAAAGATAAAAGTGGGTAGGGACATGTTCATGCGAAAAGACTATTGCTGCATTTTCACGCCACGACCGAGGTTGGATCTCACCGTGTGCAGAGTGAAAAAGACTGTGGTGATCTCACGCCGTTCCAAGATAGAGTCACACGAGTGCGCACAAATTCTTTACGCTGTCGGGAGCCCGTATGCCCAAACTTGGTCACCGTGCCTTGCCTTGCAGATTGTAGACCCCTTAAGCGTATCCGCTGTTGGGGAACTGCCGGTGGCATGGATGAGGTCACCGGATATGTATATGACGGTAGTTTAATGGCTTAAAATCAAATCCCGTAGCAGGAAGCCCCAAACCTAAAACCTAGACCCAAACCGTAAACCCAAACCAAACCTTAGACCCAAAACCCCTTGAACCCTAAACCCTAAACCCCAAACCCTGAACCCCAAACCAAGCAAGACCTGAACGCAAAAAGTGGATTCCAGGGCCTTTTGACTCGACCGACGAGCCGGCGGCATCGGCCCGAATCACGATGAGCCTGGCAAGCTCTGAAGGAGGTCGGGGGTGGTTTTCGGGTTTAGGGTTCAGGGTTTAGGGCCTAGGGTTTAAAGTTTAGNNAGGCTTTAGGCTTTAGGGTTTCAGGTCCGGGGTTCATGGTTTCAGGCTCAGAGTTTCGGCTTGAACCTCTAGGGTACTCCTGCTTCGGGGTCCACGGTCAGGCATACAGTGCGGTCCCATAAAGAACCAAGAAGGGTTTGTCATGCCAGACCACCAACAACATCACATGCTCAATACAGGGGCGTCCCGAAAGGGACAGAGCGAAGTAGTTGGAACACACCAAGCAGCAATCACCAGTACTAGTAGCCGTGTCGGCAATGAATAGTCAAGACGTTCATGTCGTGATGTGGAAGGAGAGGTGGAGCCTCACCTGTTGCTGAACATGATGACGGCCCCGAAAGGCCCTGCCGAGAGCTTTGGTTTTGGACTTTCAGGGCCTGGAATCTCAAAGTGAATCTCTCCGCTTCTCTTCCTCTTTGGCCTGTCATGGCAGAGTCTGACTCTCTCGTGATGCTTTTTCCGAGCTACGCATCCTCCATTTCAGGCTGCAGCACTCAGCCTTGTCACCACCCTCTCGCATTCCTAGCGACGTCTTCCTGGTCGCGAATCTCCTTCCCTTGAGACTCCGGGGAAGTTCACTATCCTAGAAAGGTTTACTGATAACTGCAATCCACGACTCTTGAACTTAACGGCCCCCTCGTTCCACGAGGCCGGGTTTCCAGGCGCCGCTTGTGCGCTAGATCCCTCGAGCCCGAAGCAGGGATCCACCCGACAACCGAGTCATTCCATCGCAGTGAGAGTAAGCCTCGTAGTCATGATTTTTCTGACAGCAATGTCGATAGCAATGCTGAGGTGTTGAATACAGTGTATATATATACA